AACACGAATGACCGATAAAAGGACGAAAGATACTAACATTTATTTACCTTCGATAGGTTCGCTTGGTCGCCTTACGCCATCGCATTCTATTTACACAACGACGTATACCCCGCCCTCCTCTCCCCGTCGACCTGCCGTCCTACTGCGCCGACACCAGGAACTGACGTCGCGAAGCGCACGGTGCGGACACTGGAAACTGACGCTACGAAACACAGATAAGGTGATAAATTATACTGACACTCATTTACGTTCTGGATAGGTGCGCTCGATCGCCTCGCTCGGCCGCCTTGGGTCAGCGCATGTCATCCTTCATCCTACGACGCGACGGCACCGACACCGACACCGACGGCCGGGGGTATGCGGGTAGCAACTGCACTGTAGTTGGTTCTGGGGGAGTTTGTTCTACGTGATCACCGTTGGGTACCGGGGGCACGACGCGGGTGATGACCGCGCGAGGACAGCTATGGGGATCATCGTTTGGGTTTGGGGGAACGACGCGGGTGGTGACCGCGAAGGAGGGCATGCGGGTGGTGACCGCAAAGATCGGCTCTGGGGGGATGCAGTGGCCAAGGCAGTTGGCTGTGGGGGAGTGCACACTTTAATCGTTCTGGGGGATCATCGTTGGGTACTGGGGGCACGCGAATGGTGACCGTGAAAGGGGGCATGCGGGGGGTGACCGGAAAGATCGGCTCTGGGGGGATGCGGTGGCCACTGCTGGGAGTGCACACTTTTGATCGTTCTGGGGGTTCATTGTTTAGTATTGGAGGCGTGCGGCTATGGCAACCGTAAAGGTCGGGTTCAGGGGGCAAGTGGCTGGGTGGGCGTTTCATTACAGAGGGATTGCAGTTGGCCACTGCAAACATCTACTTCAGGGGAATAAAGAGTGTGGGAGCGAAGTGAGGTTCTGGCAGACTACATGGATGACGACACATTGGTTTAGAGGGAATGTACGTACTGTGTCCAGGGAGGTCACCCGGGGCAGGGGTAGAACCTCCCTCCCTCCAAACTCTATTGCAACCACACAAAGATCCGTTCGTTTTGTTATCACCATTGTTTGATTCTGACCATGGGTGCTGTACATAAGGCAATTGCGGGGGCGCGAGTTGTTACCTGCCAGGTGAAGCTGACCAAGGAGGATCGTGAGCGACAATGAACTGTGCACACACCAACAACTGGACGGACCATGTTTTTTTAACCATCAGTTTTGCCGGCTTGATTGAGGTGAAATGTGTGAGCATTGAGATGAAGGGTTCAGTCTGCTTTACGGATTGGGTGGAGTGAAAGCAAGTTGTGGGCAAGTTGGAGGATGAAACGATCTTAATGGAGGCAAGGGAGAATACGTCAGGAAACCTAGCACCTCTGATTGTGCCCTCCACCGACAATGGCTTGGATGATTGTGTCTAACACTACGAAGGTGGGACGCGGAGGGCCCGAAATTACCATCAAGGCGTACGTGAACACACTGAAGTACTTCGCAAAGGTTGCCAACATCAATTAAATATTGCTTGCACTTCGTAGTAACTAGGATAATAACCATATATAGAATCACCTGTAGCCAGCAGGAGTGGTACCCATGAACCACACAACGGCGGACCTATACAGCTTACAGCAGCACGGTGGCGCCTCCGGTCAAACTTCTCCCACAACGATTCGAAATGAACCAAGCATGCACACTGAGCATCAAGCGCAATGTCAACCTGCAATGAAATCGCACAGAGCCATTCCAACAGTAATTTATCGAGACCTCGTGCGCTAACCACGATTCTTTACGAGCCTGGAGGTACGCATCCATCCTCGTCCTGCTGAGCCGTCCTAACTGGATGAACAGATGGGTTCTATCTGCTCCAACGGCATGTCGAACGACTTAGGGCAGCTCACATTTACCTGGGTAGCACTTCACCCGGTTTCATAGATGAACTGTCATGGAGCGTCGGATCAGGATTGATGCAGGAGCTATGGGGCGTAGTTCGTTCCACAGGAGAAACCTTCCCTCAGAGGGTGAGCACCGAACCACTGAAACTGCATAGACTCACAGCAGCCAAAGGTCAGAGTCGAAGTGACTCATGATTGCAGAATCATTGCGACCAGTCGAATCATGGTAACCGGCCCGCTCACGACCTTGACGGTCTGTCTTGATACCAGACCAACCGTTCCCCGCCACGCCGAACACAAGACCACGGATCGTGCAAATTACGACTCTGCGCGTGGACGCGTGGACGCGTGCCTCGACCTTGAAGGAGTACGGATGCCATTTGATGTTTTGCTATGGAACCCAGCTGGTTTCGTCACGGAGACCAGTATTTCAAATGTAGCCGTTGAGATGCACTACGATCAAAGTAGCTCTCCTCGATTCGTTACCCCCCGCGTGACATCCGGACTAATAGCAGGCGTCATGCGTCAAGAACTCCTTAGTGTCGGGTTTTTGGAAGAAGGAGACATCCGGATTGAGGATGCACTGTGCGCTGCACAGGTAAGGTAGCCTTGGATGCTGCTTGCTGTCTGCTGAAGCCGTCTTGTTATCAGGAAGGAAGACGCATTATTGCTTTCAATGCCCTCCGTAAAGTCTTCGAAGTGAAAATCATTACGGCATTGCCCCAGCCATCCTTATTTCGCGAACTCCCCTTCCCCATGGGTGTTGGTGTCATTATTGATTGCTACGATTCCTATACGAACAACCTGTTACCTTGCTTGAATACTGCGAATCTACCCCCTCAAGAATTTGAAAGGTATCTTGAAAGTAGCGTCGCCGTAATTCGACTGCATACGTTTCCCTGGCCTGTGTTTCGTGATCACGTATTACCGCACTTAGAGTGGGTGATCATCTCTCCAGGTCCCGGTCGACCGGATAACACCAGGGTATGCCATAGATTGAACATGCTGTTTGCTTATCTGAATATGCTCAGGACTTCGGTTTCTGTGCGGAACTGCTTCGTACATCAGAAGTCCCTGTATTGGGCGTTTGCCTTGGACATCAGGGAATTGCCTCTGCTCATGGCGGCAGTATAATATCGGTATGTCCGGCCTTGACTCCATGCAGGGTTCTGATAATTTAGACAGAGTGGTGATGTCGTGCATGGACGTACGGTGCTCGTTCATAATAACAATGTGGGGGTGTTTGCCAACGTCCCGTCCGCCCAGATGGTTCGCTATAACAGCCTTTGTGTCGATCCTGAAAGTGTGTTTCGAATTTCGAATTGCTCCTTCCGATGAACCAGCTGAGTCATAATAGATATTCCTGAAGACATTCATGTCACGGCCTGGGCGCGATCTTCTGACGGAGCAACAATTGAAATTATGGGGTTGCAACATCGCCATAAACCTCAGTATGGTGTTCAGTTTCACCTAGAGTCCACATGTTCAGATCATGACACCGCGAGAAGAATCATGCAAAGTTTTGCTCTGGTCGTGGCTCAGCACTCGAAGCACAGGGCCGCTTCTTCCACCAAGCTACCTGATATTTGCAGGACGACCTCGTATATCGATTTCAGCAAGTTGAGAAGCGTTTCTCCTTGTATCGACACCCAAATCAAGCAGCCACTTCGCGTGCTATCGCAACAGCTCGTCGTACAAGCTACTCCGGTTGAAATGTGCAGTTATTTGGTGGAAGCCTGCCAGGAGGATCTGGGCATTAACGTTTTCTGGCTGGACAGTGCGCGATCTTCGCCGAATGACCCCCTATCTCGATACAGCTACCTGGGGACGTCGAATCGCAGCATCCAATACGAACCAGGAACGGCCCTCCTACACAAAGGAATGGAAGACGTGAGCCTGCCCTTAAGGCCAGGGCAGTCTTTCTGGAGTTGGCTAGACACTCTCCAACGTGTTATCCATGAGAATTCGGCAAATGACGCAATCGCCGCTCCCAACTTTCAGTGTGGTCTAGTTGGCTATCTCAGCTACGAAATGGGTAAGGAAAGCCTCGACGGGTACGAATCCAGCACGAGGAACACCGCATATTCTGGGCCCCTCGCTCAGTTCATGCTTATCGACCAAGTTCTGGCCTTCGATCATCACACCGGGGTTTGGCATGCAATGGGTTTAATACGTGGCTCAGCCGACTCGCGAATGGATGCTTTATCTGAACTCCTACCGTGCCAATTTGGCATAACGGAGCTCGAATTTTACAGCTGGATTCGTACACTTGAAATACCTCAACCTTTTCCAAGTTCAACACGCAAGTCTGCTCTTCCATCGCTCTTCGACTTCAATTACACGCATGATTCTTATATGGATTCCATTCGGCGACTGATACAGAAGATTGGGGAAGGGGAAAGTTACGAAATGAATCTGACAGGTCAATTTACTGGGTTGTTGCACGACACACCCTCCCTGAAGGATGTGTTTGCCCTCTATGGGGACATCAGGACAAAAAACCCTGCGTGCTATTCGGCTCTTCTATGCTTCACAAGGACCCGGACACATGTCTTGTCTACTTCACCGGAACTATTTATCGAACTATCCGGCGTCGGGGGTACAGAAGCATTGATGAAACCAATTAAAGGCACCCTTCGGAGGACACCCTGTCGCTGCGCGCCATGTACAGACCCCGACGGTTGTGAAGTCAACCGTGCCCTCCAAGACGCTCAACGCTTAGCTGCATTTGAGGCCGATCCCAAAGAACGTGCGGAAAATCTCATGGTGAGCAGATGTCGCTTCGAGAATACAGCTTACATGGCTCATGTTCTTAGATTGTCGATCTCATTCGAGCGGACCTGCAAAATTTCTGCCACACGTCAAGCGTGACAGTCAAGAAGCTCATGGATGTTGAAGCATCAGAAACGGTATATTCACTAGTCACGTCGGTAGAAGGCAAGTTGGTGCCTGATGTGGGACCAGTGGAAGCCATTTGCCGGACGTTCCCCCCAGGTTCAATGACTGGGGCCCCAAAATTGCGATCGGTTGAGTTGCTGGAAGACCTGGAGGGCCACCAGCCTCGTGGCATCTATTCCGGCTGTCTTGGTTATATAAGCGTCAACAATAGAGCTTCTTTCAACGTTGTCATCCGAACCCTGGTTATCCAAGACTGCAAAGCCAGCGTAGGTGCCGGTGGAGCAATCACCTGGCTATCGGATCCCGACAGTGAGTGGGATGAATTGTTCCTGAAGGCGCGCTCTGTGTTACAGGATAGAGTATAGAAATGTTTGGGGTCATACATGATATATGATTCTTGAGTGCATGCGTTCTCTTGCTTGGCGGCCCTCGAGCCGGGAGCTATGCTGTATGAACTCAAATCAATGTAGCCCATGCATTTGTCCACCCAGATCAGTAGTAAAATATTGCACATTAGTGTACAGGAAGCATAAACTGCGCAACCCTAGAGATAGAATAGAGGACAAAGTCACAACAATTTGACATTCATATTCCCCTCTCCACTCGCCACGCTCTTCAAGACTGTGGAACCACCACGAAGACATGCCTGTAACATCAAGGACGATCGCTCCGTGAAGGACAGCCGTCGGCCGTTGATTTTCTCGGGAGAGGTGGTTGGAGGAGAGATGGGTCTTTCACCCTGAAGCGGACGACAAATTGAAACGGGGAGTATGTCTGCAAATGCCCTGTCTTCGGCAGAGGGGCTCATCACAGAGGGATATTTGTGTGGCCCGAAAGGGATAGACACGTCATGCTCAACAGGAGAGACCAGCATGTCACTCTCATCTGACTCGGTCACCTCTTCCGTCTTTTCGCTTTCCACGTCTAATCTCGTCGGCGCGCCTTTGCCTCGCTTCACTTCCACTTCGTCCACTCGAGCTCCACCAAAGACGAATGGGTGGTACCCCGCCGAGAGCATCAGGTCGATCGAGTGGACCTCAGATGGGGACCAGGCAAGTGCCTCCTTTTCGTCCCGCTCTTTCTTTCTACGTGCACCAGGCGACCATCTGGGCACGTAGTTCTCGTCGCACGCGATGAGCATCTTGTTGTAACATGTTTGACAACAGGGCCTGAGAGGAACGGTAGGCGATATGCACGGGAGACCAGCATTCCGTGGGGATGAAACAGGTGGAAATCCGGTAGGGGTAGTCGTAACAGATTCGGTGACCGGAGAGAGGGGAATGGCAATACACCGTGGAGGGCTGTCTGGAGAGTGTATGCAGCTCTTGAGAGGCGAGTCTCGCTCAGGGGAGTGAACTCTTGCACGCCGAGTGAAGCTGATCGCGGAGGATTGTGAGCGACAATGAGCTGAGCACAGACCAACATTGGACGCACCTCGGTATTTTGACCATCAGCTTCGCGGGCTTGGTTGGGGTAAATGTTGGATCATTGAGATCGGCTTCGTTCGGCCTGCGTGACCAAGATATGGGTAAAGCGACGGTGCGTGCCTCTAAGTGTGCCCTGGTCGGACGACAGGGAGTATCGGGGATGAGGAAGCAGTCAGGATAGAACCTGACGTGCGGCTGTTGTGCCATCAGGACTTGGGTCATTGACTAGAGGATGGTGATGGAGTGAAAGCAAGTTGTGGGCGAGTTGGAGGATGAAACGGTGTTGATGAGAAGGGAGAATATGTCGGGGCTGGTGATGGCTTCTCATTGTACATCTCAACCCTTAATGGCTCGGGTGACGGGGATGGAGAGGCGCACACAGCGAGCAACATGTGTGGGGTACTGCCTCCGTCGCGAGTTCCGCCTTGACCGGTTGTTCACGCGACCTCAACCGTTTTATTCGTCCCGCCATTCCGTTTGGTAGTATAAAGTTGTAATATAATACATACTACTCGTAATCAACTCCTTTAATTAATATTCTTCACTTTCAATCTTTGAAGGCATTCCTGGACAGTTCTGACCTATAAGAAGGGGAGGAAAAGACCTTGGCTGTCTCGCGCCGGGACCGAGCGTCGTTCCGTGCCTGACTAACACCGCCGAGAAGGCGGAATCGACGGGTACCAACACCGGAATAACTTTCGGTATGCACCTTCCAGCACATCATGACTCCCACCTGTCCCCCCGACCATGAGGCACCCGTGCCCATTGGCCCTATAATACCTCCTCACCTCCTCAGTCAACAAGAACAACGTGGGCAGGAGAAGAATGGTAGTTTATATCGATCATCATCATATCCCGCAAACGCATTACGGGCTTCGCAGACCTCACATGGATCGGCAGCTGAGGATGAAGATAGTGCCATCAGCGCAGACGATGCCTATATGCCTGCGCTTCCTCCCGATATGAAGAAGTACAACGAGACGCCAGCTTTTCTTAAGCCATCACCACCGCGCAGAGTAATGGGTCCCTCCTTCCCTACTCGTCCTCCCGTGGATTCTGATGATGAGGACATTGGCCCGATGCCTCCGTCGGAAGTCAGCGTCCTCCTCGAACAGAGCGGTATAGACGAATTTTTGGAGCGGGAACGGCGGCGCGAACAGCAAGCAGCCGAGGCGTCGCAACCCAAGAAACTTGAGCGGGAGGCTTGGATGCTCGCCCCCCCCACTTCATCGGAGCTTCTTGGAAGTCTCGATCCCACGCGATTGAGGACCAAACGCACCCTGGGTGGAGGGGCATCGAGGGGAAATAACAAAGAAGGGATGGAATTGTGGACTGAGACGCCTCAGGAGAAACTAGAGAGGCTGAAGGCTGAGATTAGCGGGAAGCGCAAGAGGGTAGGTGTCCAGAGTGAGATAAATGCTGATGAGAAGGGTGAGAGGGATCGGAAGCGAAGACGAGATGAAGAGATTGAACGGAGAGTGCAAGAACATAACGTACGCTTTTGCGTACGAATCATTACTAATTGGTCCTGAACAAGATGAGCAGAAAGGATCGGACCGAATGGCATCAATGCTAGATATGCATGCGTCCAAGCAGAAGAGTAAGGGCGAAGGAGGACACAATAAGGACGATGTCATTTGGGATCACGAGCGGGACATGTCTATTGGTGGCCGACTGATGGATGAGGGAAAGAGGAAGGACATCATCAAAGATGCGAAGGGGCTCGGGGGGAGATTTGAGAGAGGGAGGACTGGCGGATACCTGTAGATATTTTCCCCGGCCGCTGAAGACGGAGCAAACATACGGCTATGCCCAATGCCATCATTTAACCCTTCTGATGGTAACTTCATGTGTAGTAAATACCTCAGTGGGCCATGTTTTAGGAAAGTCACGCGAGCCTATTTCTCATTATTCAAATGCTAGGATTGCTACAGGTCAGTAAATGCTGACCAATGACATTCTCGCTCGTCAAGAACTTGATGAATAACGAAGGACACGGCGAAAACAGGAAAAGATGAAAGACCAGCCATGCTTTCAAACACGCTAGCGTTTCGTGCGATTGATGTTACAGCGAGTGAAAAAAAACAAAAAAAAAACACCACCACTACTACAACAACAACAGATGCTGAAGAAAAACTGGCATGGTGAGTCAACTAAACACCCTCTACGTACATCACGGGTGGTATACAATGACAGACCCTCGGAGACAATCGCGGCACATATAGGCTATGTGTTTGTAATTAATCACGTATCATCATGACAACTCTTTACGGGACGAAAACAACAAATGGAAAGTGCAAGTGGAAGCGACACCGAGCGCCCACCTCGGATAGGAAGTAGGAAGGCAAACACAGCAAGAAAATGTTCGATCTGCCTTGCCTTCAGAATATGGTAGCCATGTGTCCTTCGTCAAATGCATCTTTCACCGCCCTGGTGGCTGCCTCCAACTCTTTCTGGCTACCCCTTGCCCTGGGACCCAGTCCATTTTTACCAAAGGTAAAGCCAACCCAAACTCCACGGGGACCTGGTTCTTCTTTCTCTTGTACACTCTCAACATTCCGCTGTTTTTCTTTCACCTCTGCATATTTGGCCATGTCGTCCGCGTTCGTGAAGTCATCGTAATAGCCCGTGTCCACGTCGGAATCCAGCGTTGGAACAAAGGGTGCCTGCTTCGATCGCAGATCTGACCATGGAGAGAGGGCAAAGAACGGGTGGGCGGCAAGATCGCGTAGATTTGATAAGCGTGTTTGGGCCGGAGCGATGAGCCTGTGAAAATGAAAGTTAGCAAGGGTGTACAATGAGGGCTTAGTGACTAGTGTACCGGGTGATTGCATCCCAAGCTGTGTCCGTCAGATTGAAGATAAGGTCTTCGGGCTTGTCATAGTGGGGTCGTTGTAAAACCCGTTGCCAGTTCTTCAAGTTTGCCCAAGTTTCATCTGAACTTGCCCCAGAGAACGGCGGGAAGCCAGCAAGGAACTCAAAGAGGATGCAGCCCAGGGACCAATAATCAACGCTGTATGTGTATGCCTTCCCACGGAGTACCTCCGGTGCCATGTAATCCGGCGAGCCAACAATTGAGTCAGCATATCGGGGGTCTTGGATGCGCATGCTCTTATAGATGCTGCGGCGCTCCATTGTGGAGCGGCTGATTATTTCATCATCCCGTGCATCTTCCAGCTTGCGGCGCAGGGAATCGATACGAGTCGGATTCAGCGCGCCAGTGGCAAGTCCGAAGTCTGTGAGCTTCACGTGCCCGGTGCCATCGACGAGGAAGTTCTGAAATAGGCATATCAGTAAGCAGCTCTGTCTAAGGGTAAACTCTAGCATCCCTCCGGCTTCAAGTCTCGATGAATATACCCCAGTCGGTGTAGCTCATTGACTGCTGCGAACATTTCGCAGATGTAGAATCGGGCATGCTCTTCTTTAAGTACACCGGAATTGTTCAGGAGGGTGCGAAAATCACCGCCCGGAACATATTCCATAGCGAGGTATACGTGATCGGCATCCTGGAATGCATAGAGAAGAGCGACCAACCACGGCGTTCGGGTTGCAGTGAGAATATCGCGCTCTACTAGTACATGTCGAACCTGGTTATCAGTATCAGAACTGGCCACCGCCGGCAAAACAACAACGTACTTCATCCATTTTTTGAAGGGTTTTCTTCCTCATCTTCTTAAGTGCACAGATTTCTCCGCTATCCACTTTCCTGGCCAGAAAGACCTCACCATACCCGCCCTGACCGACCTGTGCAACGATACGAAAGTGCTCCACACGTAATCTAGTTCTCCTTCGGCGCAAAAGCGCGCGCTCCCGTGACAGATAGGACTTGAGCTCTGTGATGTACTCGAGCTCGGGGAGTTGTCGTTCAGCTGTGTCAACATCAAACTTCGATCGCCTGGCTCGACGAGCAGCCAAGTAGCCCAAATTTTGGAAGTAGTAATCGAGGAAATCTGCGCATGAGGTTAGTAATCCTAGAATCTGCAACAAGCTGAGACAGTGCGGACACATCTGTGCCAGCGTCGCCTTGCGCTTCACTTCGGCGCTCTCCAGCTTCTCCTTCTGCCAAAAAGGGAGTGCTTGACCAGTGCGACCAGAAAACAATGTCCGTGCGGTTTCCATATGTATGTCAGGCGAGGTAGACAGGTTAACGAAGCCCTTCGCCGTGGACATGTGCACATCCTTCACCATTTGAGCAGCTCCAGATAGCCCTGGTGCACCTGTTTGAGCCGCCATAGCCGCTCGAGAGTTTTCTTTATCTCTAGAAGGCGTTGTCCAGGGAGCAGGTATCTTGGTAGGGGATGGCGGAGTCTGTTTGAGCACCCCAGACTCAATCTTGCGTGACGGAGAAGGCGGATTGGACGATGTCGGGTTGGACATGAGAGCTTGAGTGCGTTGGGACCAGGTAGGGGTAGTCATTGCAAGGGGGTAAACACTGAGAGGAAGAAAGGGCCGAAGATTGAGAAATATGTGAAAAAGTGAAGAACAAGGTGGTTGTTAGGGTCCGTGGCCTTGGAGTTGCCAAAAAAACGCGTGTTGCCATAGATCACGTGTTGTGGCGTGACCCGTCTGTCCATGTCCCGTTGTTCTCCCCCACACCTCCTCACCACGGGCAACCATCCATTCGCCATGACTGCCGTTACAGCTACACATCCGGCAGTAGCTGGTTTCAATCTTTCCATTATATTGGCCTCCCCCCAGCCTTCAATACCTTTGCATCCCAAACCATTGCTACACTCGCTGGCGGCATTTCAAGCAGCAGTAGATGCGTATGTTCACAAAGGCAAACAAGAGATAGGAAGAAGGAAGGAGGCACAAGGACTGCGCCTAAATGAGGATGCGGACAGAAAGAGGGAAATGGAGGAGGCAATTGAGCGCGAAAAGCGACGGGAGATCGAGTTGATAGAAGGTGCGTATCCATCATACCTGAATCCGGTGACCTTACCTAACAAGGACGAAGTGCTGGAGAAGGAAAGGCTAGAAGCAAAGGAGATGGAATCCTCCCTACAACTGCTCAAGAAGCAGCTTGCATCTCTGACAGAACAGGCATCAGCTTTAGATGGTGAAGCCAATGATTTGCGAATGCGCATTAATCGATTGCGAAAAGGTGCACACTATCCACTCAACTTCAACTATACTACCTGCTGACTCACGCGTGTGACAGACAAAAGCCGTGACATTTCTTTACTGCAAGATCGAGCTCAGTCCATGTCACCCCAGCTAGCACTTTATGAAGGGGCTCTCGGATTCTCAGTGACTGGTGTGAAAGGTTCTCGGGCTACTGAAAGGCATAGTCGCGGGAACTGATGCGTTGCATTACAGATGATATCCTGTTGTTCAAGTTTATGCACCTTGAAGAATCGGCACCGACCCGATTGTTTTCGTTTGTTCTTGATCTCTCGCAGCAAGATTATATCGGTGAGTGCATAAATCAAACTATTTAGCTTGTTGACGATTTACACCTGCCCAGTAACAATGTCGGAGCCTCCTCTTGGAGCCATGCCCCGTCTTGTGGATGAACTGAACAACACCCGCCAATTTTGGACCTTTATCAAAGGCGTCCGGGCCGCATTTCTGACCGAGCTCGAGGAGACTTGGATATGAACAGGAATTGTCCTCATTTGGTTCCTGGAAATGGTTATGGACAGGCTTGGTACATTCATACGATTGCGCCAGCGAGAGTATCAGGAGGTGATTGTAGGGGTGGTGTATTCAGTGTACAGTATAATATATATTGCAGTCTATCGATGTGCTGAAAGATCCAGTACCTACCTGGCCGCGATGCTGATATGATTTTATCGAGTTGGCTATTGTTAATCTAGAGAGAAACTTTGTCATGCCGCCCCTAGCCGTAAAGTAGCTTGATCAGTAAGGATGTAGTAGTTGATGTATGGGGTGGAAGTAGGAGCGGGATCATTTATGGAGCGTTGTATTGATCCCTTGTGTGCGCCCGTCCACTGTTTCGCTGTACAATCCCATATCCCCCCCTCTCCCTCATCAAACTCTCCCCTTCCTTCCTCCCCCTCTCACCCCACACAATCTCCCTTCCTAGAGCGTATATAATTTTATCGCTCCATTCCTCCATCATTCATTAGCTCCTCTCATTCTCCCTTCCTTCCTGCTCAACCCCTCAAGCACTGCTCTCATCCATCCCGTTCCATCGGACCAGTCTTTGCGACCAACCAGAGAAGCACAAACTCGCGTCGACCTTCCTGTCTCCACACCTCGCCACCCATTGCCCTGCTTTCTATGGCCGTTCAGCTTGCTAATCCTAACGATTTCTCTTCTCTCTCAATCATGGACGCCAATACAAGCTCGCCAGCACACACTGCCCAACAGCTTGGACAACAACAACTCCCTTACATGAGCATCCCGTTCACCCATCAACAGCAGCAGATGGCTCCTCAGCCGTCTCAGTCTCCGCATCAGCAATGGCCGTCCTTACAGCACCCTATGCCCGGTGCCCCCACGCAGTTCTTTCCGCACATGCATGGATATGCGCCCTTCCCAATTCCCCACCCTCACCCCCAGTTTTCATCACAGCAGCAGCAACAGCAACTTTGGGCGTATCAACACATGTTGTATGGACAACCAGTTCCTCCCATCTCTGACTTTGCAAGAGTGGACCGTCCTCGCACAATGTCCAATCCACAACAGGCCCCAGGTGTTCAAGCGACCAGTCCTGCAATGGATGCGCAGCAGACTTTCTGGTCACAAAATACTTCGCACTATAATGCGAAGCCATTCTTGCCATCTCACCCAGGATCACAACGTCAGCCTATTGATCCTATTCATGGAATTGCTCGCTCACATGAGGATCCCCTTTCTTTTTACACCCCTCAATTACCTCGCCGACCACATCCCTCAGAACCCTACCAAGGCTATCATCCCTATAGACGGCCAGCACGCTCTGAAACGGCGCCACCGACTCTATCCACCCCGGAATGGTCTCAGGATGCATTACCACTTCATCAACCGCCATACGCTCGACCGGATGCCGCAGGCTCTGCGACCTCTCTAGGTTCAAGTAGTGGGGCCTCATCGCGTGCCCCTGCGGAGAGGCATCGCAATGCCAGCCTTCAGGGCAATAACAACACATCTTACCAATCCCCACCCCATTCTAGGCAGTCATCGTCCTCGCAAGTGCCTCGTGTGGAGAGCGGGGCGAATCACGGTCGCACCTCTAGTCAAGCGTCCAATCCTCGACCGTCGCAGCAGCAACACCGGCGTGATTCTTCCGCAAGCGATCGTCCCGCTAGCCCTTCAGTTTCCGGATCAGCTCCATCGCCTGCCGCTCCCACATCGCGATCCCCCACTGCCAGCGTACCTTCAGGGAGGCCGACTAAACCATCACCATTATCGAAAGACCCAACATATCCAGATGCGAACAGCAAGCGGATCTCAAAGACGGAGGAAGACTTACCGTCAGCCACGACGACTCTGGCCCGCCCAGCCGTGGTGCATGCGACGACAGCTTCTGCCGTCGCTGCGGCAGGTGCTGCAGAGCCTACCGAGAAGATGGTCAAATTCGGTGGATTGAAAGGGCGGTTGCGTCGCGCTCTCAGTTTCTCGGCTATACAAACATTAGATGATGAAGATCCTAGTCTGAAAGTTGCTGCTAACAGGCGAAAGGCTGCCGCTGCCGCTGCGGCCCGGGAGAAAATCAAGGAGACCCAGCCGACCCAAGAACCCTCAGGACCTGCTCGATCTCCAGGAGCCCCTTCGTCACCGCCACTTGCTCCGGTGGATAATGATGATATTGAGCCATCAGTGCGGAAGCTCACCAAGAAGCCTAAACGCTCTCTTTTCAGGAAAGGGTTCAATGCTTCGACTGATAATATCTCACTTTCTTCCACTGCTTCTTCTGCTTCCCTCATGATCCGAAAGCTCGGCGGCTCGGTGGGTAATTTAGCCCGCAAGGCGAGTTTGGCGAACATTGCTGGTTTTCTGAAGGACAAGCACAAGGATGGTGAGCCTAAAGGAAAAGGGGGTGCCGCGAGTGCCAGTGTCAGCATGGCCACGGCAGAGGTGGATCGTGGACCTCAAACACCTGAAGAAGCGGGTCTCAGCCCTGCGGCTCGTCTCGCCCGACAGCATACCTTGCGGAGCAATGCGGAAGCAGCCGCCAAAGTACAGGTGGTAGCAGCAGCCCGTCCAGAGGCATCTGGACCCGATGAGCATGGGGCCGCTGCTGTTCCCGCCACCTGGGACCGGAACACCACCAAACGCACACCTCCCGGTACCCCCAGGTCAGGTGGACGCTTACCCGTCCTTGAGGATGATACATGGGATGACAATGAAAGGGAGGAACACGTGGACGCAGGGTTGGATGAACAGGCGGATGAGAATGAGAGTGATCCGGAAGACGATGAACAGCTCACTATTCGCATGAGCGGAGTCAGCGTATCTGACGAAGTGGAGCCATGGGCAGTCGGTGTCAGGAGGTCCATCGAGAGATTGAGACTGCCAGCGAAGGGAATCCTCAAGAGTGAGTGAGACAATCCCTTCGTTGTCCCCGCTGACAATTGCGCAGATGCCCAACATTACGACCAAAATTCTTATGATGGCCCCTCCCTGATACGGATCCGAGCAAATTCATATGGCTCTGCATCACAATCTAATCAAGAGCCTGGTCCTCTTGCCCGTTTACCAAGTGCTGATCCTGACCATATTGATGGCTTACAACGCGAGCATTCCGCTCACGGCACTGGATCTCTGGACATTTTCGAAGGATCTGCGCCCACCCCGCAACTTGCCGTTGACAAGCCAGCCTTCCAGTATAACCACCCTAACTTCAATTCCTCAGCACCCACCTTATCAACTTTTGGGATGCCTCCCATGACGCAGCGTGCTGCTACCGCACCTCTACAACTGAGGAGACTCGCATTTGCTACCAATCTGTCGGTGTACAGTACCTTTTCCTCATCAGTGTATGATCGCCGATCAGAGCCAGCCACGTGCAATCGACTCACTCCTCAGCTGGCACAGAAGATTAAAGAGGAGCTTAACACTTACAAAATGGAAGAGATGGAAGTGCATCATGCCAGTCGAATACAGTACGTGGCCAGCCTCAGAATTCGCGCTGGCCTAATACCCTCCGTAGTACTCATTTTTTCGTCTAACCTCACCCTGAACAGGAGATGTTCTGCATCCACACTGCATATCGTTCGCATATCCGCAACTGTCACAATATCGTGCTTGTCGCATCCTCACGGACTGCTCACCTAACAGATGTTCACCCACACGCTTTGCTTTGTCGGAGCAAGTGTCCCACTCCTCCCGTCCTCAAGCGCCCGGCACGCCACCGCCCACAGCATTATATCTATCCCCTTTGTACCATTACCATCCTCTCATACGTCACGAACGAGCATGACAATGAGATGAATCCTTTTTTTTTCTTCTCAAAAGCCGATCACCGAAGACCGGGGCGGGGCACACACCGTGTCTGTCTGGCAATTGACCTCTATTGTTCACGTTCCGGTTGTAGTCGTGGCGTGTTTCTTTTCGGTTGGGTTTGCCTCATTCATTCATTTTTCTCTCTTGCATGGACTGTTGCGTTGCATTTTCTCCTTTTCTACCGAGGAGCTATCGCGCTTTGTATGCCCAATGCATCCTGCATCGCAGAGCGATGTTTGTTCATATCCGTGGTGTAAATATTACTTATTCCCCAATCACCTGAACATTGACACCAGATAATCAGGGTCCCGACGTGCCCCAATAGCCTGCGTGTTCATGGATGCTCAGCTCAATACCCTGCTTGGCTAAGCTTTACAAGTGTATAAGGGCTTCAGATCTCTTGGTGTGAGCGTTCCTGTGGGTTATTGACAAATAAATGTCATCTTCAGATGCTGGCATCCAGGTGACGGTCACCCCGGCACAATCCGCTTTCTTTGCCGGAGAGACCTTCACCGTCTCCGTCACGTTTACCAATGCCCACCGAGCGGCCCCACCACGATCTCAACCCCGCTCGGCTTCCGCCGCACAGACCCACAGGCGTGGAGTGCAATCCGTCAGCTCCGTGCCCCTTGCAAGACCCCCAACGTCGCCTGGCAGCCCACAGACGGCGAACGCATTGACAGCCGGTTTCCTCGCACTAGAAGATACACCCCAAAGAAAACGACGGGGACTGGTTGGTCACGAAGGGCTGCAGAATCCTCGCGTTTTTGCAGTGGCCACGGAAAGTTCTGCGAGAAGAAGAAGATTCACCCCAAAATCCCTCTCAGTCTCTATTACCGCCAACGAACTTGTGGAGCGATTGGTTGGAAGGACCGGAAATTCAACGCCTTCATCTCCAGAGTGTGAAGCGGGCGGTGCAGCTTCTTTGCGTGGGTCTAATGGTGAGCGCCGCCAAAACCTGCTCGTAATTCAGAGTCGCTCATCCATATGTAGCGCCGTTCGCAAGCCACAACCTGTCGTCGCGGGCGAGAAATGCCGCATTGCCAATTCATCCCGCTCACCCCCACGCCCGTAAGCAATCAGTACAGGATTTTCAAGCACAGGAGGTTTCAACTCCTTTCTCCTTGTCTCTTGATCCGATCGCTGAACACTCGGCGGCCACCCCCCCAACACCATTTGCGCCGTCCCCTCTTCCTCCTACCATTCCTGTGCTGGACAACAACGTACATCAGCAGCGCGACGCATTCACAGCCCGTCAAATTCGACCCAATGCTCGCCTGGGCCAATCTAAGAGAAGCGGACTCGCCAACGCAACCACAGACCTTGGTCTTGGAAAACCTAGTAGCATCGATATTTCAGGCGGCCATCAGCCTCGCTCTGCCTTCTCAAGTACATTTTCACCTCCCGGAACGGAAGTTCTATTATGGGCATATGTCCAGCTGATTGGGAGGATAGAACTGGACGAGGGTGTCGTCCCCTTTCACATTGTGGACAAGCTGAAAGATGGCTTATCAGCTAATTCGGCGGTCGGTCGTGGAAGTATGGATATTGGAAGCTCGCATTCACCCTCAACAAGCTTTCTTACGTCAGTACTGTTACAGAAAACACCCCGATCCCCCTTCATGCGCCACCAACGGGCGTCGCCTTCCCTATTTTCTTCGCTGCCTTCATTTGGACTATCTTCGTTATTTAGTCCATCACGGTCATCGCCCTTCAGTTCCCCTAGTGTCAACCGGGATGAAGAAGATGCTTTGCCCACCCTGGACCTTCAACCTAGTGTGCTAGCTGTCGACCTCGTTCTATCACCCGGAGAGAGTCGAACCTGTAGGCCAACACTTCACTTGTCTAGTAGGGGCCATTATCGACTCTTTCATACAGACACATATACGCTTGCATTGCCACCGTCGTTGCCACCTACATTTCGCGGGAAAGCTGTGCGATTTAACTATGAGTTGCTCGTAGGAACCTGTCACACTGCCAGCATGACTGCGGGTATATCACTGCCTTCCCCTGGAATCTTCGAGGAGCACAGAAAGAAGAAGGTGATGAAGATCCCCGTTCGCGTGTACAACTTCGTATCAGGTCGGCTTCAACCTACAGCATGACGAGATTCATACTCTGACAGGGCAATAGTAGAGAATCCCCAACTGTGTTATGACCTTATGTGGTCTTCGCACGCAGACAAATCGATACGGCAAGGCAGAGTAGATGAACATGTTCCAAATATGAAGAAGACCAGAGACAGTGCGCCCTCTAATGTTTTGGTTAGCATCAACTGAAGGGTTACACAGTGCGGCATTCTTCAGAATGTAAGACCCCTGCGTCAGTCGTCGCAAAACAGCTCGTAGACGAGATGACGAGAAGCGACCGCCTTCATTTTGCACCAGAGGAAGAAGAACTTTGGAGCTGCAGGGAAGCTGTTGAGATTCTGACCAGAAACTCTCGGAAAGGTGCGCATTCAAGGATGCGATAAATTGGGCATCTTTCTGATCCGCCCCAGTCTCTTATGATATTGGGAAGGACGGCGAGCAGGTTGCTGTTTTAACGTTGGTCAAGTCGTCGTATCGGGTGGGAGAAACAATTTCCGGTGTAGTCGAATTCAACAACTCATCACGCGCACGTGTTCTCAAGGTGTGTTGGTTGCTCAAGATCTCAATTGGTTCTTTTACCGAGCGTTCTAGTTCTCGGCTTTTCTGGAAGCACACGAGCAACTTCCAACAGCCTTTGTCAACGCTAGGCATCTTGATTTGCGTCGCGTGCACGCCGAATACCATTCCACTCTCACAACAAATACTGCACAACTACCGTTCTCCCTAGATGTGCCTTCCGATGCCTCGCCAGCTTTCAGGTTCGCTGCCGTAGACTTCAGCGAGGGCGAGGGCGGGCTGCGATGGCGAGTCAGAGTCTGTTTTCTCGTGGTAATTGCAGCCGGTCTGTCCCGACATCTAGTGCCCGAAGGCTACGAGGACGACTGGGGGACGGCATGGAGAGCATCTTCAACTCTCACACCTCTGGCTAGTAGAGGCATGCCGTCACCATCTTCCATGACCTCCACACCTCTTCCCGGTAGCTGGAACTCATCTGCTGGAAGCCCGTCAAGTGGAGGGGAGGCACGTAATGGAGGGTCTGTCGATTGGCAAGAAGTCAAGGCAGAAACTGTCGAGTGTGACATACCCCTTGCAATTTGGCCAGGCAATACCTTATTCCGACCCGTCGAAACTATTTTTGCAGCGTGATAAATGTCGCTTTCCACACGGTGATTTCCAGTCTGCTAGGAATACAACTGGACGGCGGAAATACATACCCCTCGTCGGAATGGGACAGTCAGGGGAACAAACCCTCAATACGTACACGACTGTGCACATTAACGAGAACGGTGGATCACGGTCCATCATTCCTGCGATTCGGAGACCTCAAAGCATGTTCTGATGGTCGATGCGAACAAAATATTGCCAGTGTACAGAAATTTTGGAGCTTATGTTTACCGGAGTTCTTATGTTGGCTGGTTTATACCACTCATTCCACTCACTGTATATTTTATCCTACAATATATAGCTTCTTCATACTCAATGAACAGGAAATGGAATAACACGGAAAGGTAATATGCTGAAAGGTATTTGATTAAACAAGGAAGCTTTTCCGTGTATTGTTTTGCATGGAGTAACCGTCTCACAGAAATGCAGTCCTTCAACGGATACTTACAGAAATACACGCATACTTAAGCAACACATCGTATATCTCTATATGCACATGATGAGGGCGCTCGAAATTTGTAGTGGGGTAAGAAAATGATAGAGACCCAGATGACGTGTGCACGGAAAGCAAATATGAGTATGGTGTCATTAGGGTCCGATAGGTATAGAGCACACAGTGACTTTTCAGTGAAGTTGCATAGCACGCGCCGCAGAGAGCAAGCCAGGTCTTATTCAATCTTGTACTACCCTCTGAAAAATCAGCTCCACCAGCGAAGCTACCGTGCTTGATACCTAGTATGTCATATGAACGTTCTAATCAGACCGCGAGACAAGTCCAGAGTGGGGTTGACCGTCTTGCAAACTAGAAGTACAGTGTCACGAAATCGGTCAAGAGCTATATTCCCCGACATTTTCCCCCAGGCAAGCCATCCAGATTCGGGTCTTATACAGTCTCCGACATAGTCAGAACCACGATAGTAATAGAAACGGCTATTCTTACCTGAAAAGCTCGCGAACAAGCTCACGAAAATCTATTCGTTTGTCAGCGGTGAAGTAAAATGTCAACTTGCGACGGTCCCTAAACGAAAATAAGATGCTCGATTGACCAGAGTACCGTAGACTTTCAGCATTCTTACCATTGGAATTCGGCATCAACAACCTGCATGGGCAAACGCTTCTGTCTCACTTTATTTTGGCACAGCTGCAAGGCCTTTGTCTCATCATGCATCTTAGACACGAGAAGCCTTCGTGAGACTGTATAAGTGGTCTCCTCGCTGTGGACATAGACAACGCACTGGGTTTCCTGAGGTTGGGCCTTCGAGTATATCCGTTTTGGCATGATCTCTTTGACTGGTTTTGGTGCACCAGGAACAGTGGGACTGAGAGGAGGACCAGAGGACGAGTTGCTGAGAGGACCAGAGAGTGCGGCAAATAGATACGCGTCCTGGGTACCTGCCGGGGCAGTCTGAGTCGATTGCGCAGGGTCCGCCGCCTGTTTCAAGAAAAACTCGACGTCTGCCAGTGTGATAGTGTCATTCACAACTTTGCCCAGGTCTTTGCCGCGGTCAGCTTCCACAATGACCAGATCTCCAGTGCGAACATTGAGGGATGGATCTGGGCAATAGAATATGTCTGTTCGACCAGCTTTGAATTCGACAATATACAGGTGATCTGATTCAGGCACTGAATAAAGTGGCACGCCTTTGCCAAGGTCGGAAAGCGTTGGTGATGTGGCATCAGTTTGGTTTCGATGCGAATGCATCGATCCCTGACCATAGTGAGCCTGGTGTCCTGGCCTGGAGAAGGTGAACGTGCTTGGTGAGAGTGGAGGACGTATGTTCGTCGGCATAGCACCAGTTTGTAGTCTAGGTAAGCCGGAAGTCGACGCAGCCGGTCCAGGCTGATACATGGCGGACACGGGCGATAGGGAGTAGTCCATCGAAGACGAGGGGATGAACACATCGGACGAAGATTCGTGTTGATTTGTAGGAAATGATCGAACGGGCATGCCCGCTTGTGAACGGGGCATTGTGTGACCAATCGTGTCCTCTCGCACAAGATATGCTAGATTTGGATCCCGAGTTTGGAACGAAGTTTGAGAGAACCCATTCGGGCCGAAGGCATCTTTTGTAGACGAGCTAAAAGATGCTGTTCTTCCAATGTATCCACGAGTGGGTGACCTTGACTGAGGCTGGGCAATCGATGTCGAAAAGCTGCCACGCGCAGCTTCGCCCGAATATGTGAGATTGGGGGATTGCCCATACGCGCCGACTGGAGGATATGTAGGTAAAGACGACGGTTGGGATGATGCGGTGCCTCGTGAAACAACCGTAGGCGGTTTGTGAACGTTCAAGGAGCTGAGTCCGCTGATTAGATCCTCATCGGAAATTCGTAGTGCACCAGTACCGAAGGTGCCGAGCGCAAATCCGTTATTCTCCCTCTCGTGGAACGCGTCTTCCATCGCGGTCCTATCTGATTCTCCTGGAATCACAAAGCCAGATATCGCCCTTCGTGGCTGCACGATACTGACACTATGCCGTCGGCTTGTCGTTCCACTTCCTCCGCCGTTATCTTCTCGCCAGTTCCCAGCACCACCTAAAGTGATCCAAGGTTCCCTCATAGGGGCAGGTTCGTCATTGAAGATCTGACTGACATCACGAACGAAGGGGCTCATGTTTGACAAGTCAATATCCTGGGACACGTGGGATCGGCGGATAGGTGACAAGGAAGGACGGCGCAAGCCGGATTGGCCATTGAAGTCAAAAGCACCTACCACACCTCTCAATATGGGGACATTTTTAAGTGGAACAACGTACCGAGGGTATCGAAATCGCGTTCGCCCCAATTCCTCGCCAACCCAGTTGAGCCGGGCAAAGGTAACGCCAATGCGTGTCCACGCAGGGCATCATTCGCCATCGACTGGGAACGACTATGGCTAAATGTGCCACTCGGTGTCGAGTTGTGATCAGGTGTGTGCCCGCCCCCGACTCCGGCTTCCTCTTCTTCTTCATCTTCGAATGTCGAAGGAAAGCTCATTCGCCCCCGTGTGTCGTGATGAGGATGGGCCTCGGATACTGAAAAAGAAGCGCTACGGATTGGGATAGCTCGCGGAACCCACGTGGGCTCATGGACTCCAGCTCGAAGAGGAGAGCCCCAGACACCATTGCTGCTGATGCTTCCACCAATGTTGGGAGGAGCTGTTTCAAACGGCGTTTGGACGGGTGATGCAGATATCGGTATATCGTTTCGAGCGGGCTGGCTTGTGGCCCGAGGAGCGGATGACCGGCGCGTAGACGGATCCAAAGCAAACCGGGGCTTGCGTTCAATATCTTCAGAGCTCTGCATCATCCGGAACGGAGAATAACTCTGACGACGGAGTATCAAGCAAGTCTATCAGCTTGATGGTAAACCTGGCAGTAAAAGCTTGGTCTACACGGTCACGTCTGTTTGTATATATGGCAACTCCACAATGCAATGCAATGCCAGAGAGTGGTGGTATTGGAGGGGAGTGGCGTCGTGCAGAGATAATGAGCTAGTCTGTTGGAAGGTCTCGTGTCTTCTCCTTTTGTTGCCGTTGAAAGTGACAGATACGACAGGATGAGGTCGAAGCAATGGCAGGAGATGGTTTATCCAAGCAAACAAGACAAGATAGTAGCAGGTATGGCGAATGGAGGTGCAAGAGAAAGGGAGAGAAGGCTCAGATGGCGAGGGCAGGAAAGGAGAGGAGAGAATGACAAGCAGGAGACATCAAGCAGGTTAAGAGCGAGTCGATCGGTGTCAGAGGAGGGATGGGGAATATGGGAGACTGAATAATGTTGCCAAAGGGGGAATGTGCGCGCGTGTGCTGGTCGCGTGATGTGGGGAAAGGGACCTTCACACCAGGTCAGTCGCAGCATTGCCACATGACCTCAACTGCCTTCTTTTGCATCCGGCACGTTGACAATGAAAAGGACCAGGGTCTTAGCACCCAAATGATAGCAGCACAAGCTCATTGTGCACCATTTAATTATGTCAGACATCATTAATGCATTTGCATAACAGTCAGTGCTACTTCACAGTATGATAAAGAGGCCACAGAAGAATGACAAAGGCAATCTGCACTTGAAGCTATACTCTGAAATATCTAGTAATGAACAACTTTAGTGGACTAATGGTTCCTTAGTATAGGCATCACTGATGGTCCATGGCTCAGAAGTACTGTTAACTGCTTCCCTTGCTGCCTCTCTGGTTGGGGGAATTGGAATGCTAGAAAGAGATACAAGAGGGTGTAAGGGTCCCCCTTACTCATCTATTCTGTTTGCTTCCATTGCTAGGCTCTACTTATTTGCCACCCTAGTCTACCTTTTTCTGTGTCCTTTCCTCTCTCCTCACCATCATCTGAATCTAGACATTTTCTCTAATACAGAACAGTCTTAACAGTACTTCTAAGTGATACTTCATCAGACTGGACCATCAGTGAGGGCCTATACCAAGGCCCTTTCAGAGGAAAGAGATGAGTAGGGCAGACCCTTACAGCTGCTTCCAAAAGTAATGTGTTGAGAGAACTGAGAGTCTTGACAACCTATGGTTTTGGTTGTCCATAAGTGGAGTCCCAGAGGCTGATTTCAGTCTGATCAATTCACTCTGCACTGCTAAGCATTACACGGACATGCTCATAGATTTATTCATGCCCATACTGTCTGTCAGACTTGGAAACAAGGGATAATCTCACAAGAGGTTCAAACTTTTGAGGTCATTCTTCAATACATCCCATTCAACAGGTGGATATTTCTTCCTGACCATCCAGTATAACAGTTATTACAGTTCACCAGATAGGCGTTGAATCTTGCCTGGCTCAGTCTCAGGCACAAGCTCAGCTTCAGGTTACTATGTATTTTTGTAGTTCCTATCAAAGCCCCCAAAGCCCCTGCAATTAGAATTATGATCGGCATGATGTGTGTCCCTACCCAATGGGTTTGCCTTTTTACATCCATGTGTTCATCTATCTGAATCTGCTCAACTTAATATGATGACCTGGCTGATTTTTTGACTGCAACATTGAAGTCTATCTGTTTCAATTGTACATCCCCTTTTCCCTTGTAAGTACATTCTAGCTAAATTGCAGAAGCCTGAGAGGATCACAAGCAAGAAATATATACTATGATGTACTATAGTACCAAAAAGTTGTGATTGCATGTCAAACATGTGTTTATATTAAGAAGTGGCACCATGAATGGTGACAGTTGATGCAACCTTGCACAGTGCAGTCTGCATAGTTGATTGGCTACATGGAGACAGCTGCACATCCATTATAGTGGGCAAGACAGCAAGCAGAGTGGAGTGCAGAGAATTGGAAGTGGGAATGAGTCAGCACTTATGGGATCTGAAGGGTGGGAGAGAGGTTTTCAAGCAGAATTACAAGGCTTCGGCATTCTAGAATTCTTTGCTGTACTTGGATCAATGGAGTCAGTCCACTCCATTGCTTTGAGGGGAAGGTTAATTGGGAGAAGGTCAGGGCTGTGGTCAAACCAAGCAGACTATGGGCTGCATCTATCTGTTTAACTGAATGCTGAATTGTGATCATTTGTGTATTCCCATAGTAGCCTCAAAGTTTGAGTATCCAACTTTGATCTGTTTCACATCCTCCGGGAAGTCCAGTATCTTCTAAGCTTTCACAATAGATAATTAGTTTCCTCTTCTGAGGCAACTTTCAAAGATGGTTTCCACCACAATTCCTGAGCTTCTACTCAGAGAATTGTTGAAGGGGTGTGGAAAGGATAAATTATGAACACAAGAGTTTGAGGTAGTATGCCTGGCGGCATTCAAGCTTTTCAAGGGCTCATGAAATGTGATATGCTAGAATGGTGATGTATCCTCATTAGGATGTGTCACCTACACAGCATGTTTTGCAGCAACAGTGCCTCTGTGAGGGTCTGTATTGCTAAAAGAAATCTGCATGATGGAGATGACTGCCCCATGCCAAGAAGTACATGAACCCTGGGTGCATCTGTGTGGGGTTCAGATTTTAAGATTGCATTGCAAAAGCCTGGCAGCTGTGTGTCTGCAAGGTGCATGCAGATCCTAGGGGCTGTCATCCAATGCTTGGGATTAGTGTGTCACAAACTTGTAAACCTGGTGCCCTCACAGAATAAATGCAAGATGCATCAACCTTGATTTGGAGGCTGTTGCAATGGCTTTTAATGTTCATTTGCATGGTAATCTAAAGTCTGTGGTTGCCTCATGTGATTCCTGGTGACTGCCCAGACACCTGGGTTGGATAGCCATTTGCATGTGGCTTGCTCCCAGGTATACCTTACAAAGTTAAAAGTGTGAGGCAATTCTTATATCTGGTTTCTCTTGAGACATGAAAAACTCTGTTCTTCATTGAAAGAGCTTCTAACCCTCAAGTTCTCCCATTCTCCTGAGCTTGAAGCACCATGCTGGTGATTCATGTACCCTTTCTTGCCATTAACTCCACTTTACTTGCACCTTATCCAGACTTGCTCCATTATGAAAAGGCCTTGGTATAGGCCCTCACTGATGGTCCAGTCTGATGAACAATCACTCAGAAGGACTGTTAAGACCATCTGTGTTAGAGAAAAGGTTTAGATACAGTTTCGAGTGATGATGAAATTGAGGAGAGAGGAAAGGACAAGGTAGACTAGGCTGGCAAACAAGTAGGGCCTAGCAACAGAAGCGAACAGAATAGACAAGTATGGGGGACCATTAGACAAAGAAAGCTTTTGATGGTGCACCAAACAGGTCAGAGTTTAGCCTGACTCTCCTTGTCCCACCAGCATGTGTCTGTAACATGCTTTCAGGCATATGTTCATCTGGCAGGCTGAAAAAAGCTGCTCAACCTCCCACTTAGTGTGCACAGCTGATGGTCAAAAAATACTGTCATAGATGCACTTGGAGAAATAAATACTGGGGGCACACAGGTGGTGACCACGAAAACAGCAATTGGGGGCTTGCATTTGGTAGGGGTCTTCATCTGGTAGTGGGGGCGTGCAGATGGTGACTGTAAAGATGGCTATTGGGGGATCATCGTTTGGTTCTGGAGCACACAGGTAGTGACTGTAGGTCCAGTTCAGGGGGTAAGTGGCTGGGTGGGCAGTTCGTTGCCACTTGCCCTGAACCGGACCTTTACAGTTGCCAAAGCTGCATGCCCGCAGTACCCCAAGTGAGCCCCGTCTTCAAGTCACCACCTGCGTGCCCCCAGAACCAAACTCGAGCACCCAGTAGCTGTCTTTGCAGTCGCCACCCGCATGCCCCCAAACCCAAACGATGATCCCCATAGCCGTCTTTGCAGTCACCACCCGCATGCCCCCAAACCCAAACGATGATCCCCATAGCCGTCTTTGCAGTCACCACCCGCGTGCCCCCAAACCCAAAGATGATCCCCATAGCCGTCTTTGCGGTCACCACCCGCATGCCCTCCTTCGCGGTCACCACCCGCGTCGTTCCCCCAAACCCAAACGATGATCCCCATAGCTGTCCTCGCGCGGTCATCACCCGCGTCGTGCCCCCGGTACCCAACGGTGATCACGTAGAACAAACTCCCCCAGAACCAACTACAGTGCAGTTGCTACCCGCATACCCCCGGCCGTCGGTGTCGGTGTCGGTGCCGTCGCGTCGTAGGATGAAGGATGACATGCGCTGACCCAAGGCGGCCGAGCGAGGCGATCGAGCGCACCTATCCAGAACGTAAATGAGTGTCAGTATAATTTATCACCTTATCTGTGTTTCGTAGCGTCAGTTTCCAGTGTCCGCACCGTGCGCTTCGCGACGTCAGTTCCTGGTGTCGGCGCAGTAGGACGGCAGGTCGACGGGGAGAGGAGGGCGGGGTATACGTCGTTGTGTAAATAGAATGCGATGGCGTAAGGCGACCAAGCGAACCTATCGAAGGTAAA